TTTCCAATCGTCAATCCAGTAAATGACGACAGGCGATAGATTTGTGCAAGTGACTTTTTGACAGGCAGAGCAATGTAATCATGCATGGACTGATTTGCACATTTAGAATTTATACGTTTTGTTTGGAGGGAATATTTTAACCTTGTTTCAGCATTAATATAGCTACTTTTTGGATTATTCAGTTATTTATTTATTTATTTGAGATGCGCCAAATCACACATAAGACTTAACATTACGTTGAAGATTTAAATGTTTTTTAAAAAGTTTGGATTTAAGAGCAGGAATCTCTGAGATAGAGGTTTTCAGTTGAGAAAACATAACAGACAAAATGATTTGAAACAAGAAGTCAGACTTCCAGTAGCTTCTAGTAGCTAGCCCTAAGATAAACTACTATGTGTGGTTCTTCAAGTAATGGACTGCATCAATTAGGGTTACATAAACAACAGTACAGTATATAAGAAGCCTTTGACTGTGGTGCATTTATTCTTGTTTATCGCTGAAGTCTACTTAGCGTCAAAGGAAAATACCTGCGGAAACTGACCCTAATTCTCATTGCTGTGGCCATAAGGTCCCTCTTTTTTCCTGCCTGTTTATTTACATATATATTAATTGGGTATTAAAGATATCCAACCTGCTCAGACTGATAAGGGAGTGGAGGTGGTGGTCCAGAAGGTGCATACTCTCCTAGTATTGGGGTCCCAGGAGTGTTGGGGAAATCTGTAAATCCTGGCTGGTTGGAGAATCCCTGATTCCCTACAACAAAAATAATAGCAAACATTATTTCCATTGAGCAAATAAAAACAGGCCAGTAGATACTTTTTTTCCCTGTTGCATAATAGTACTCAAGGCAACAGTGAAAAGAGAAAACTTCCTGTTGAAGAGTCAAAGAGCATATCTTTATTGCAGTGCTTGTAATATTACTTAGGTCACCTCACATCTATCTTCTATGCTTGTTTATAGTTTCTGCAATGATGCACAATATATATCATGAGTTACAAGTGGGGATAGCATGGAAACCACGGAAACTTCATTTTCTGGACATTTCTGACCAAGCAAACAGTCCTCTTTAAAATGGTATCAATTAAAGAAAAAAAAAGCTGTCAAAGAAAGTTGCACCGAAAAAAGTAGATCCAGCAATACATTTGTCAGGCTTTTAAATCCATCTGATTAGAATCAGTGGTTCCACATCAGATCAGGGCTCTTAAACCATTTTAGAAATCAAAATTACGTTTTTCTTTAAAATCTCAACCAAAAAAAAAATAATCTTGACATGAAATGGCTATTTAAGACAGCTTTTTTGGTATGCAGCTCTTTAGCAGTGTAATCCCTATAATAATCCCTTAAACCACAGGGTAGGGATTACTGGTATGATAATGGACCGGTGTGGTAAAGTGAATTTGGGAAAGTGTTTCACATCAAGTAATTTTGTGTTTTTACATCAGTAAAAATAAATGAAGACACATAAGCTGCTACCTTAACTCATTTGACTTAACAGAGTACTAAACAGACCTTATTTGATTGAGGGAGCATATTAGTTATTGTTATTTATCATTTTATAATTTTTCTTTTTAATACAGTTACAGTCATGGTATGTACAGTATATGTAGGGCTTTTGTACTGAGCACTCAAAGCACTTTTTAAAACATGTATCTGGGCAACATGGGTTCAGTATCTTATTCAAGTATAGGTTGACATGTAGGTGGGAGTATCCAGGGATCAATCCACACTTTCTAACAGTGTTGCATCGGTTAATTGAAGTTTGTGGGCATGTCTTTATGCACAGTTTTTTTAAGGTCTCAACTTTGGTCTTGTTGTCCACAGGACATTGTTCCAGAAGTCTCATGGTTTGTTCGAATGCAAATTTGGAAAGTGAAGTAGTGTTGCCATGCATAGTGAGAAGAGGCTTTCTGTACTTGTGCAGTGTTTTTCTAATCTGATTGTCATAAACGTTAACATGCTAACTCTGCTCTGTAGTATCTCAGATGTAGCTCTTGGGTATGGAGCATTGTATGACCTTGGCTTTTTGGGGGAAATTTGTTGGAACGATCACTCCTTGGTATCGTGATAATAAATAACTGTCACAATTTGTAAATGATACAGACTAATGAGTGAGGACCAAGAATGCTATAGGTAGGTAGAAAACGAGCCATTTATTAAGGCTGGAAAAATGTAAAAAAGCATAACACAAATCTAATGAGGAAACCGTGACACTAAAATCAAACATGCAGGCAGCCGCCAGTGCTACTCAGCCTCCTAGTAATGTGTGCAAATTCAACTTAGCAGCTTACACACTCTTGTGGGTAGCTTTTGCGCTAAAAGCTGCTCGCTCAAATCAGACTTTTCACTGTCTGGATGCGGAGCCCAAAGGAAGAGGGGTCCTAAAGTGACTGGTCACTTTAATGGAGGTTATTGCATTAAACAGAGTTACACCATGGCAGCAACATAAGTGTTGTTTTAAAATGTATCTGTTTATAATTTCGAAAATAAAGTTTGCTCTTAACAACAGTTGCTGTTTGCTGTGCAGCAGTGGAAATACTGACAACCAGTGTTGGTCAAGCTACTTGAAAATCGTAATTAGATACTAATTACGGATTACTTCTCCAAGAAAGTAATCCCATTACTTTACTGATTACTTTTTAAAAAGTAATTAGTTACTTTATTAGTGTACAATGGACGCTAATGTTTTTGTCACTTTTTACAGAATAAAACTCAAAGTAGTGTCAGTACTTCTAAGCTTTAAACGCTGCATGGTCGTACTCTCTTCCGCAGTCCATATTATCCATTATTGATCAATACACGTCTGTTGCTGCCACGGACGCCGCACGTTCATACGTCATTGTCATGAGACACTCTCACAAACAAAATCACGTTCTAGTAATGCAGTAACAGTAATCCCTTACTTTACTTGTTAGTTGAAAAAAGTAATCGGACAACTCGACAATCGACAACTGTCACTGGTTTACGTTAATGCTGAAGAAATCTTAAAAACCATAATTCTAAGGGACATTTTGAAGCACTCCAATCTAGTCATGTATGCAGTTACATGCGTTTCCTGCAGAGTGAGCAACTTTTTGATGGCAGGTTTATACATCTCTATTGTGGTCAAAGTTATAATTGCTAGATCCCAGTGCACACTTGCTTTGCAGATTATGTTTTTCGTCACATGCAACTTTTGAGAGAAAAATAATTCCACAAACTATGGAACAAAGTAAAACAAGAAATACAGAAAAAGATGACAGATTCTAACATACAAATATGACCACAGGATACAAAAAACATAGGAAAGGTAACTAAACCAAAATTACATCTATCCATCTTATAGACCAATCTCCAACCTTATTTTTATCTCAAAATTTTATTAAAACCTAGTTGTAAGACATTTTTTATATTAAAAATGTTTATTTGTATATTCATGTAGATTAATTATTTTTTACATTTTGATCTTGGAGGTTAGGTGGGTTAGGGAATGTGAATAAAATGGAATCAGACTTAAACTGTAGCAAAAAAATCTCATTATATTTTATGTATGTTAATTATAACCGCCTCTCTTCAAATTATAACAACAACAAAAAAAAGTCCTCTTTCATACCTGGCCGACTGTACTCTGGGGTGTTCCTGCCTCCTGCATTCAGACTTTGGTAGGGGGATGATGCTGGGCCCAGAGCAGCAATCATTTCCATCACATTTGGTAAGACCATGTGACTTGGACTGACTGTGCGACAGCGTTTGAGGACTGGTCCATCAGGCTCCTCTTTTATGTGAAGGTCAGGTTTAACAGGCACCGGCCTCCAACCACATACTGGGTCTATAGTGATCTCCTCATAGTCTGAACTGAGGAAGGGAGGGAAGGGTGAGACATGAAAATTGAGGACATTAAATAATAAAAATAAATAAATAAAATGTGGAGCTTTTATCAAATTCTG